ACTTAAGAGCCGGGTCGTGACACAGTAGATGCTTGTTATAGTTTTTTAGCTATCCTGTTTTTAGCAAGGCAGGTAGTGTACAGGGAGCTTGTTTGTTGGCAATAGCTACATATGGTCAGTGAGACTGACTAATACCTCCTCTATAGGACTATAAAACAAGTCTTTATATTCTGTCTTGTGTAGATTTCAACATGTCTGCTCATGGCATGGCTTCCTGAGAAGCTATGGTATTCTTTAAGGGGTTCATTCATCTTAGTGGTGGGAGTGCTTTTACCATTTGTGACAACTTGTCATCAAGTAAAGTAAGATCAATAAATTACATATTACAAATATATTAATGAACTGATAAATATATCACATAAAAAGGTGTACACTAAAATCTTCTAGTCTCCAGCTGGATGGCAGAAAACGTGACACAATTCAAGGAAGCATTTCATCTTCAAACAGTATCGGTTACATAATTTATTTTTTGTTTTCAGTGGTTACAATACATTCCTCACTGATAACCATAGCATGAGTACACTCACTTGAACACACTGCAGTAATTAATAATTTCTTCATCTGGTCAGCAAGTGTAATTAGTGGTTTAACACAGCAGACGTAAGCCTTGAATCACCTGAGATGTAATTGATTTGATTTTTACACATCTTTGTACATCTTTTGATAAAGCAAAGCAAACAGGTACCAGTAGATCAAGTAGTAACTTTGCTACAAAGAATGAGTAGTCAAAACAACATTATAACTGTGGTAACTTGCAAATTATATGAGAAAGGCACAGAAACATGCCAGCAGCAGAAACAGTATGATAGGAGCAGGGGCACTGGATGCTGATCTGAAGATTGTCCTGCCGTTAAGACTCTGTGCAGGCCGAAACACTTTGGTATATTCTGTCTTAGTCGGGAACATCATCATCTGGTGGTGTTGAAGAAAATGTTAGGCATCATTTATGACAGACTGAAGTGTAATCCATTATTTTGACTTGATGTTCTTCTGTTATAAAAGGCCACTTGTTTGAGAAATGATGTCCCAGGCAGTATAATTACAATGATGAAGGCGGACATGTTGAAGGGGTCTTGATAGGATCAACCACTAAGACTGTAGTACATTTGGGTAAAGTTGCATTCAGATCTACAATATCATTGATTATGTGCTTTCTTTCCTTTTCTATTGTGTCACTGTGTGTTTTTAAATCATCCCTATTTGCATATAACGCAAATAGATAGATAGCTAGTTGTCAATGGTATGAACCGCATAATTTGTTTTCTTTTAAATATAATTATAGGGTGCGGTTATTATTTAAGGTTGTGGAAGGATCACCACCTATCATTATTACTGGTAATAACTCATAGCTGAATTATAGTTGAGAACGAGTGAGTAAGGTGGGGGGCAGGGAATGTTTGTAAACTGCATTGTTTAAAAAAGGTACTAGGCTGCATGTTTATCTCTTTGTGCATTACACTGATAACTGTCATACCGAGAGCCAACTGCAACTGATTTCACAGATTACTGCAATTTGAATCAAAGCAGGGCAAACTAATCAGGAAAATCATCCGATACCTCAAAAGGTACAAGCATACTGATAAGATTTATTGTTTTAAGTTTGAACTCAAGCCCATTGACTTTGAAATGAAGGGATGACTGGCGTTAAAGTTATGACTTTTTGTTGGGTGAACAGTGTTCATGTCCTTTGTTATACATACCCTCGAATGCTTAACATAAATCGAGACTACCTAGCAGTTGAAGGTTTTCCCCATCTGTTAACCTCTGACTGAACTTGTGTTTGACACAAGACCAGACTGAAGACAATGGTGAAAATAGCACAGATCAAGGATAGTATCATCAGGGAAGATACCAAGTATCTGGCAGTGACGTCCAACCCAAAGACATCTGCATTCATTGACTTTTGCAAACACATTGCAAAAGAATTGATCCTTCTAACAAGTATTCAAAGAGTGGATGTAGCCTTCTTCTTCTCCTGCAATGTTGTAATGGCACCTGACTCGAGAATTAGCACCAACAAATGTTTTTCAATGCACTCAACTTCTAATTTTCATTAATTCCCGTTTTCATCTGTTGTTTTTCTGTAAATCTGGTTAAAATTAGCTGGAAATCTGGCTGTGTCAGAAAAGCATTGAGAGATGGACTCATTCATTGTTTGTCTTCGTCTTTAAAAATGGGATTTGTTGACAAAAAGTAAAAAGAACGCCTCATACTCTAGATAGATATAACTAATTACTTCCTTGAGGGACATGTTGTCCTATTGTTCCATTGATGTGGTTACCCTAAAACTACAGCTGTAAGTGTCTTAATCTTAGTCATTTTATTTCATATCCTTACATCAGTGATGTGCATCCACATGTGCATACAGAGATGCCAAATACCTGGGTTCCCGTATGATCTACCTCTAAGATCATTGCTGTCCGTTTTGATTGTCCTGTAATGTAGTCTAACAAACGGTTCTCTTACAATGACTTCTCCAGAGGATAATCTCTTTGTACTACCTCTTTGAACCACTGTAGTTAAGAATTATCTTTGAATAGTGTTGCATCGAGCCACTGCATTATGCAATACCATTAATTCAAAGCCAATCTGGGACACCACTGGTTTAATATAGTACCTTTAACACCAAGATGGAGAATAGCACGTACCAGGTTGTTGTCCACTTTGATAGACTCTTTAAAGACTGTCCAGACCACTGCTTCATTACATGAAGGTGTGGTTAAGGAGCCATTGTAGCGGTAGTATTCTTTTCGGTTCACATTGCCAAGCAAGTCATCAATGGAGATCTCTTCTGTAAATTCAACTTCTGCACCTACGTGGAGGAAAAAATGCACAAGATGTATTGGCACATTTGTGCATCCACATTCAGTATTTTTGATCTTATATCCTACAAAACAAGCATGCACTCACCAACGCTTGTAATATTTTCCAGGTATTTAGCCAGTTTATTCCAGGCATCCATACTAGGTTCAGGATTTGTCTACAGAGACAAACGTGGAGAATGAATAAGGAACATTTGACTATACAGTAGCACAATCTGCTGGTTTAAAAAAGCTACACTACTTGCCTGTTGTTCTGAATTGACACTGCTTTTGGCTGTATCTGTAGCCTGGAAAAGACATTGAGAAAAGCCGTTTATAACAAAGTCAGGAAAGAAAAGAAAGAACAGTTCCCTCTGCTAATATGCACTGAAAACTCTCAACCAATTGCAAAATAATCATTATGAGCCGTCAGTTCTACAGTTTATACAAATATGCACAAGGTTTGCATTTGGACTTGCATGATTATACACCCTTAAATAGAGGTTTTATACATTTGTATTTAACATTTATGTCAAAACCTTTGACAAAGTGATCGAGCATTGTTATATGTTATTCTGTTATTCCCTTTAGCAAACTGTACATCAGGCATGACTCATACTAACCATCAGACAAGCGAAAGAATGGCATTGTATAACGCAGCTCAGTGATTAATGACAGCACGTTGAGATTTAATCTTGTCTCTTATTAGATAATGCCAGTATGTCTCCTGTTACCAAATGCAATCAGTCACGCCTAGTTTGGTGCTTTTACATTTTCTTAGCACAGATACTGTCATTTTTGTCATGGGCAGACGCCTTGTTTCTTAAACTGGACAAACAGGTGTAGTCCTCAGCTGATTCTCGTAAAAAGGTGGGGAAATAAATAGATGAGAAGTCAGGTAATGTTAACTCAATAATACTACCTGGAGCCCTTCACCACCACCACCATCCCCAATTAGTTGTTAAAATAGGTTTCAGCTGCTTTTCCACCATTTCCTTTGTGCATTACACACTAAAAAATCAATAATGTCAGTTTTTTTTTTTTGTATTTGTTTGTATTGAGTATATTTTGTCACTTTTCCAGGGTGAACACACTAAACACTCCTCCCTGTATATAAATACTATATAGTATAGATCTAAATAACAACTACTGGCTTACTACATGAACGCATCAAACACACTAAATGTTACCTCAATAAAGAATCCCAGCACTGCCAGATCAGGAATCTCCACTGCCTCATCCACTGTTAAACCCTTCCTCTTGTTCACTATGTGCATCTGGACAAAGACACAAATATTGACATGTAGTATACACACTGGCAAAAGCAAAATCTATTGGAAAACAATGCCTTCACAGCAAAAATGCAGTAGTTTAATGCTTATAACTACCTCCATTGGGTATCTGTGTGAATCCACTGTGTGCTCTGAGCCATTGGAGTCCAGTGAGCCCCAATGGAAGTGGAACTGTATGGTGGAGTAGACGTATCCCAAACCTCCCTCTGAGACCTCCACCACATTGTCCTGCAGTATACACTTCACTGGTTGAGTTGAGCGAGAACACAAGGCACAGTGTAAATGTCTTTTATTTTAATTATGGGCAAACCAAATATAAAAGCTTGGAAAAACAACTGAAACGATTAAAACTGTTATTATTATTATTTTTGACAACTTCTCAATTAATCGACTAATTGTTGCAATTCTAATCATAACCCAAAAATAATACAGTTAAGCATTAGTTTTGTTTTGGAATCTTAGTAGCATCAATTCTAATGAAAATCATCAATAATAGTAATTGTAGCATACACAGATTTAACAGAAACTTAATAAAGTTAGTTCATCTTTGAGTCCTTTTAGGCTCAATAAATATCCACCAAAAACACCCTATAATCTGAAAGAAACTTTCAAACCTGTGTGGCCTGTGTTAGTGATCTTCGCAAAGGCTTTTTTGTTTTCAAACCCTGTAAAACTGAAGTCACCAAGATTCTTGTCGATCACAGTGTTTGTCTCAATGTTAATGGGTGACTGGCTTTCGCCGTCGCAGTGGGAGTAAGGCAGAACGTGCCAGTTAGACGGCTGGTAATCTGAGGTTTGGAGAAGAAAACAAATGTTTAAGTGTCTAAATCCCATTGTAAAAGCATTAAACTGTCCAATCACTGTCAGTGATGTATATATGATACGTACTACAGTGCTCATCATAGCACCACGGAGGACCTAAAGAATAGAGCAGTCAGATTTAATGTGTCAACTCAGAGTCATAAATATTAAAGATTCTATATGTGGTGATTTTTCAACTCACTCTGAGCTAAAGTAGTAGCAGGGGAGGCAAACACTCGACGTTCATTAAGATGTTGTGTAGGACGATAATTGTTGGTGAGTTTTGTGTCCATGGGAAACTTTTTAATCTAAGAACAAAGCAAAACACGTTTCCTCCAACAGATCCACTGCAGTGACATTACTGTCAAACACACATTTTGTAGTACAATTTCTTAGCAGCAGAAACCGATGATGAGTTGAGGGGCCCCTCAGTGGACGCCCCCTTACTTTATCTGTACAGGTTAAGCAACCACAAACCTTCCTTCCTTCTGGCAGAGGGCCCATAGTGTTAGCGCAAAGCACTTATTCTAATCATATTATAATTTTTCATTTCAGAGGCACTGGCTTAATGAGTACTGATTTCACCCCTATAAACACTGTAGGAGTCATGATGGACAGTTAAAGGATCAAAATCAATGAGATTATCTGTTTTATTCCAGGAATAATTCTTCCTTGTCAAACAACTGGTGCCTACATTACCCACAATGCAACTCAACCACCAACAGTTTGGTTAGCGCGCTGCTTTAAACTGGGCGGTTCCAATTCTTTTTCATTCTTGAGGTCAATACCTGCCGTCTTCATAATATGCAAATAACACACTGTATTGTCTTTCAGAATAAGAGTCAAAGGTGCTTGAAATGTGGATACATATATATCAAGTTACACTACAGAAATCGACATGTCTGAATTAAACACACACCTTAAAAGTTATAACGCGATGAAATGGTGCTGCATTAAATGCTACTTTTATGAAGGATATAAAATGCGTTTATTTTCTGAGACTAAAGGTGTCCGCAGCAATTTCTGAACTCTTACTTTTGCATATTTACTGCTGTCAGCATGTTCTCAAATACAATACTCTAACTGTTCTAAGTGTACGTAGTTAATATAACTGCGGCTGAGGTCAAAGAGTCATGCACCTGCTGAGCCACGAGACACGAGAACGCGAGAACAGGTTTCTCCTTACTATCACCTGATGGCTGTTACGTAGATCAGATGGAGAGGTTAGATATGTCATTCTACAACATACGCCCAGTATTTTCTCTTGTTGAGTCAACAGAAAATAACAGTGATTATCAAACATGATCACCATACCAGATACCAGCATGCCACAGTATGTCCTGGAACTTGTTCTCTGATGATGCTTGCCTGCATGCATCAGTGACTGATTGTGTAACAGTTTGTGATTCCACTCGCCACAGGTCATCACAATTTTTACTGGTTCAGTTGTACAGAATGACTAAGCAATGAGTGAATACTATTCTTATCCTGGCGTGAATTGCCGTCCAATGTTTCTTCACACAGCTCAGACGGGTTAACCTGCTTACCGCTGGCTATGGCAGGGAGCAACTTTATCATTCATTTGAAGTTTCTGGCCACCTTGTGAGTGTAAGTCTGATATTCAGTCTTTTCTAGCTCTATTACTGGTCTTAACCAATGTATATCAAGTACTTCAGCTGTGAAATGCTCCTCTATGTTCACCAGCTAGTCAACAAGTGTGTCTGTCTGCAGTTTGTTGCCTAGCAGGTAGTGTACAGTGGGTTGTTTTTTTTTAATTTTACCACTAAACATGGCCTTTCCTCCTCTTATCCTCCAAAATAGAGGTTTCCATGCTGCTCGACTCACCAGATTTTTGCTGACGTTGATTGGCTCTTTAAAGACTGTCCACACAACTGCTTCACTGCAGTTGGGGGTGGTCAGGGAGCCCATGTACCTGTAGAACTTTGTGAGGTTTACATTTCCAATCAGGTCGTTGATAGAGAAGTGATGACTTATATCAACCGCAGCACCTGTGATGTCTGTCAGGTAAGATGTAAGGTTGCTCCATGGTCCCGACATATTCTCATCATCTTCTGTTGCCTTTAGAAAGAAGATATTGTAATTACACTTGCAATATTAGTTTGATAAAGTAAGATAAAATTCTGCAAAAAAATTTATTTTACAATTTTAGTAATGTTTTCAATTTGTGATGTTTATGGAAAAGTTAGCACTATAAGAGTTTTCCTTGGAATAAAAATTTTAAGTGTAGGACATACATTTATAAAAAACGCAAGAACAGCAATGCCTTCTGAGTCCTGCACAGCCTCCTCCACAGTAAGACCTTTCTTCAGACTGACTATGTGCATCTACAACAGATAACATGAACCCATCAGACAAAGTAAGGTAAAATTAGACACACATATGTAAAATAGGCATGTTGTTTATAGTGAATGCCAGTGAACAATACTGTACCTCCATTGCATATCTGTGCCCATCAATCATGTGCTCCGAACCTTGATTATGTTCTTCGCTGCTCCAGTGAAAGTGAAACTGAATTGTAGAATATGTTTCACTGAGTCCACCTCCTGTCACTTCAACTTCCTCTTCCATCAAATTGATTTTCACTGTGCATGGGAGAGATGGAGAAGCGTTTTAAGTGGTTATAGTTTGGAGTATATAGAAGTTAAAACACATTCTTATCATCATACGAACAGCTTTGTGCCCTTACTACACTTCTTTCACAAATATAGAAACTGTTGTACAATTCAAAGGCAAAGACAAAAAAACACATGGAAGTCTCAGTTTGTGTACCTGTATGTCCAGTGTTTATGATGGACTTGTTGATGTATTGATTGTCGAAGTTGGTGAAGGCAAAGTTATCCAGGTAATGGTTAGTCTCAACTAGGTTGGTGACTATGCTAATGGGAGACTGCCTGTCAGATCCACAGGAAGACTCAGGAAGGTCTGCCCATTTTTCTGGTGTGGTGTCTGTGAAAGTTAAGAGGTTCTCTTAATGTCACAACAAACTAACGTAGACTAATGATTGTTTGATCCAAATAATTCAATAAGTCAGACATCTGTCCTTACTTACTGCAGCCAGTATAGCACCAGTCACTTCCAGTTTCTGAAACAGAAATATAGCCAACATAGAGTAGCCAAATGATACAAACAGCATCAAATGTGGCCTTATTAGCATTATGTGATGAAATACGGCCCTGCCTGAGGAACACTGTAACTGAGACCTGACACATTCACTTAAGTACTGTTCTTATGTCAAATTTTCTTCACTTTATCCATTTTATGCTACATGAAGTTCTATAACTAGGTTCTGTAACAAAGACCACACTCTGGGGGCGCCGGTTAGCTCAGTCGGCCCTTTCCCTCCCACAGTATTCCACATTTGTTCATAATGTGTAATAAACTTTTCTTATTATATACAGCCGTTGGCGTGGTCTTTGTTAGTGAATTTATATCCACAACATTTCAGAGAGAAATGTACCTTTTACTTCACTACAGTTACATGTACAGCTATACTAAATTTAAATAAATAAAAAACATATAAAGAGATTATAAAAAGAACAATGCATTGCTAAAGGTTAAAAAAGTTGTGTCTGGCTGGGGCCCCCCTGTTTGAGTTATTTCCACCAAAAGAGATTTCCCTCTAAACTCTTTATTTGGTTTTACAGTTTGAGGTCCAAAGAAATAATCAAATATTTCCACAAATAAATAAAAATCTAGTCCAGTAATCATATCAAGACCCCTCAGTTTTATATGGGCAAGGTTTGACATTGTTGTATTACTACTTTAAACCAAAGTATCTGAGTGCTTCTTCCGCCACTGTCTCTATCATATGGTATGGACAGCTATTGTCGATGCTCTATTCCTTAACCTCGTTAGTTTTGTATATTGGATGCATTTTTGAGGCTTAAATATGAGAAAATAAGCAATTCACCTAAATAAACAGAATCGTACTGTCAACAATGGAAATGACATTGTGAGAGGTAGTGTATTCTGCTCTACAATACAAACACAAATTATGGATATGATACAACAAGAGGCAGAAATAGAAATGTATGCATTTTACTCACCACCTTTTACCAAAGCTCCCAAACTGATGCACAGCAGAAAGGAGAAGAGATGCATCTTCAGGAACAAAAAAAAAAATCAATCAATTATCAATCACAAGATCTTGAATTGGATTTTTGTCGTTTCACTATGTCGTTCTTATTTCAGAAGTAACCAAGTTTTCAGAGAGGTTATATAACAGCCTCAGTGATGTCTACCTGGTATACTTAATGATGAAGTCCTTGTATGCTACCTTTAATCAAAAGAATATCAATAGTGTCAGTCTCAGGCCAGGACACAAGGCAAGGAGTCACTTACCAAAAATCCCATTTAAGTGCACTAATATCTATCTATCAATCTATAAAGCAAGAAATCTCTGTCTGTCTGTGTGTGTGTGGCTGTGTGTGTGTGGCTCAAATATC